CGTTTCATTCAGGAATTTTAGTGAAGACATGAAGCTGATATTGAGATGAGATGACTTAAGAAGATAGCGAAGCCTCAACAACCCTTTTAGAACGACGTCAAACTCTGACGTGACCATCAGCAACTCGTAGAATTCCACAGACATCAGCTTGACAGAAAGAGCCGCGACGCAACCGCACGCTGGATACTTAGCGTCCAAATGAGACCATCGCCCGCCAGTTCAAATATCTAATTCTCTATCACTCTCCCTCAATACTGGGTGTTGGAAGGATCTAGAGTGTGTAGATGAACGTGTGGGCTCAAAAATGAGTACAAATAGTGCTTTATTTCACTTAAAATAAATAAACACTGCATGAAACACCAATTAAAACACTTTAAACCATGAACAAGGCACGTACTTAGCCTATATAACAACAAACAACCGTGGGAAAAAACCCTTGGAATGAATAAATAAAACAAAAATGCACAAATGGCATTCTATCACATCAATCTCCTTTGGGGATCGCTTGGAGGTGATACAGAAGGGACTGCTTCTAGGCTTACAACTCCTCCTTCTTCTTCTTCTTGCCGTCACGAGACCAGCCCTTGAGTCCATCAGTGGAGTGTTTGGCGATGAAGTTGATAAAGTCTTTCACTTCACGTCCACCATTGTAAGGAATGGGCTCACTCTTCTGATTCTTGGGCAACCAGTAAAGAGTTGGGAACCTGATGACATAACGCAATAAGATATGTACAATAGCAAGACGTAGCTTCAGACATACCCACGGACTTCGAAGAGCGGCGGTACATCGTTGGCAGTAGCGTCCATCTTGACAATGAGTACGTCTTCCTTTTCTAACTAAAAAGAGATTGTTAGTTTACTGAATTATTAGTATGCGTCGAAACATACCTTCGTTGCAAGCTCTTCATATTTGGGGGCAAGAGCTTTGCAATGTCCACACCAGGGAGCATAGAACTCAATAAGCGCATCCTTATCTGCGTCCAGCACCAACTCCTTGAAGTTCTTAGCCACGGCCACCTAAATGAATGCGGAATGAATAAATGAATAGGTAAATAAAAACCAAGATACTTACCTTAAGTGCACCGGTATTGTCGGGAATAGGCTCTGACTTCATGTAGGGTTCAAGCTTACCAGCAAGCAACTCCTCAACAAATTCCTTGAGATTTTCTACGCTGAAAAGAGGTGTGATTCTCCAGTTCAATATAGAAAGATGTTCTTCACCAACCTAAACTCATTGTTCATAGGGAACTTCCCTTCGTCAGTGATAGCGGCAACGATGGGCTTGTCGGAATCTTTACGGTCCGCCAGTCCGTTTTGATCAACTTCGGTAGAGAACTCTTCCTTGTTCGAAACAGCAAAATGAACCTTGCGCTTGTAATCCTGAGCAACCTTCAGAACACGATTACGCCAATAGTTTGAGCCTAAATACTCACAAATATACGCAATTTTGTATGAAGGATGAAACGCTACGAACCCTTAGGATCCTTCAAGTAGTCCACGTTGTAGTAGACAACTACAAGTGGTCTTTGCTCGAATTGGAATAGATTGCCCTGAGTACGAATGCCTGCCATTCCAACGGTCTCATGAACAAGGAAGTTTTTGATCTTATCCGTGTCATAGTTGCCATCATACTTGAACTCATCGGGATCGAATTTGTTGTGAAGTTTCTTTGGGGTGAACACAACGATATCACTTAAAATACAAATATATATATATATATGCATAAAAGAAAGTCTCATGTCTTGAAATTTATGATTTACAATGAGCCTTTCGTTTAATATAACATCGCTGTTGCTATTAGAAAAAAAA